TTGAGACTGTCAATCTTGACGGTGAAACAAACGCCAAGACACGACGTGCAAAGCCTCAGACAATTGAAGCACTTGGAACAATAGAAGACATTATTGAAAGTTGTCTCCCGGATCCTGCGATTCAGGCATATTTTATGGAACGCGGCACAACGGCATCGTGGAATGCGGCTGCAGCACGTGATACTTTTGATGTCGTTACTCCTGTCAATTCATCATTGGTACAGAAGAATAGATCTGGAATGAGGGATGAAAGGACATGGGGGGCAAATGGGCAATCCGGGGCAAGGGAGTTTCCTGGTAGGCGCAGAGAACCCTTTATGCCGTATCCCTTGGGGCGGCGTGCCTCGTTGGATTCTCGCTTGGGAAAATTCACACACGTCCGTTCCCATACATATGGAAGTTGGGGGCGCAAACCGCCGGAGACTCCGGTGTACCATAAGCGCCACCTCACCTTTGACGAGCGCTTTGCGGTTGGCCGAGAGATGCCTGTACCGTCTAAAATTTTGGAGATGTCACGGCGGTACGATGAAAAACACATGGGTCACCACCGCCAGCGACGAAGATCTTGCCCTTTTTTTGCGGACAATGAGATGATGCATCTTCCCAACGGAGAAGACGATCCTGACAACTTTGATGGGGCAGAAGAGAACAGCAACCAAAATTGCAAGAGCACAGGTGGAATTGTGATTCTCGGCGCGCCACCATGCAGTGAACTTTACTCGTGGATTGGTCAGATGCGGATGCGAGATGGCGAGATTGTTCCATTGGGTATTGAGCAGCTTCTTCCACGGGGATGTGTGGTACGTAACACGGAATGGATACTCACTGCGGTGACATACACGGGAAGAAATACCAAGATGCTGCTGAACCAACGGCCCAAATCAGTGAAATTTTCTGTAGTTGCACGGCGTATCAACATTTTGAATTGTTTCCTCTTACTTGTGCATCAATCTTTTTTGTTTTTTCTCTGCGGACTTGCGGTCAGGTGGCGGAATGAACGCTTGGAGGCACCAGAAGGCACACGTAGTGGGTATTCGACATGGTATATTCAATGGAATCTTTCACGCTATACCGCAAAAGAATTTTTTGGATGGCGATATCTTACCAACTTTGTTCTTCTCTCATATCTTATTCCACTCTCTTTGTATGTCACAATGGAATTCAACAAAGCCATTCAAATGGTCCTTATTTCCCGTGATAGGCGAATGGCAAATTTTGATGAATTTATTGGCGAGTTACGCTATACACGTCCTAAAACATCAGAGCTAAACTGTCAATTGGCTCATGTGCGGTATATATTTACAGATAAAACCGGGACATTGACAGAAAACATTATGACATATGTGGGTGGTTGTACAGCGACGAAGACTCACAATGAACAAGAGAGACCTGGTGGTCTTGGTGAAGAATTTATACAACTTATACAGAATTACCCCAATAGATCTGGAACTAGGTCTGTTATTCAAGGCAATTGCTTTTTTCGTGGTCGTCGTCGAAAATTTGATTTTGATGAATCTATGATGGAATCTGAACCACTTTTTCAGTACCTGCGAGCATTGGCTTTATGTCATTCTGTCGTTTGTTTTGATCGTTCATCTGTGGATCAGGCGGCGATAATTTCTTCCTTGAGTTGTACCCATGTATCTTATGGGCATGAAGCGGAAAATGCTCATTTTCGAATGCAAACTGGTGAGCAGCAAGAACTTCAAGCTTTGGATCCAGCCATAACGGGTACTTTCAATTCATCTGGGGCCCAGGTAAGTGGGTTTCACACCAGCACAGCAAGTGGTGTTGGTAAGTTTCTTCAAGGCCATAATGGAAGTTCAAGTTGGTATGTAACACGTTACAATGATATGCAGACGGATCAACGATCCGCAACTATGCCAAGGATTGTAAATGAATTAAAAGACGAATCAAAAATATACGAAGCACAGTCATTGGATGAGATTGCATTGGTGACAGCTTCTCGTGACAATCTTTTTGCATTGCAAAGACGGAGTGCGACGCATATGTTTATTAAGGTTGTAAATAAGATTATGTGCTACGAGATTATCGCTGAATTGGAGTTTACACCACAGCGGAAATTAATGAGTATTTTATTGTGCCGGTCCCCCACACACGATGATGAGGCTTTTGAGCAACCAGAAACAACAATTAGTTATCACCGATTAAATACCGCAACAGCATTCATCCCAGTCCCACGTGAATTAGAATGCGAGGAAAATGGAATTGTTGACATTATTCCACCCTCAGAAGACCCCTCGGCTACGAGGAAAAGAGAGGAAAGGGCCATTGACAATGTGGATATGAATGTGAATGCCACACATGGTAATACGGAGCGCTCGCTTGACAATGCTGAAGAACGCCCGTACCTATTACTTGTGAAGGGAGCAGACAGTAGTATGATGACAATTTTGAATAAAAATAATCCAAGAAATGCGGAATTGTGGCCTATTTTTCAGCGGGAACTTGAAGCGATGGCACAACAGGGACTTCGGACACTTGTCATGGGACAACGATATCTTTCAGAACGCGAGGTACGAGAGTGGTTACCATCCTTTCATGAAGCTCAATGTAGTATGCATAACCGAATGGAGAGGCTCCATCGCGTCTATGCGATGTTAGAAAAGGATGTAGATCTTGTGGGTACTACAGCCGTAGAGGATCGACTTCAAGATGGAGTTCCAGAGACGATAAAATTTTTTCTAGAGGCAGAAATTGTTGTATGGATGCTTACAGGTGATAAACGTGAGACGGCGGTAACGATTGCAGGTACAAGTGGTTTAATCGACCCCCAGTTTGAAGATTGTGTGATTCATTTAGATGTTGCAGAAGCCTCTTTACAGTTTACTAGTGTTACTGAAGCTGCGGCTGATGCCACCTTGTGGGAATCACTACAGGAACAGATAAGGGAGGCTGTACGAAAGTGTAATACTTCTGACGAGATATATGGAAGTACTCGAACGGTGGTGTTAGTTGTAGACGGACGGACGCTAGATATCATTTTTACCGATGTCGCTTGTACTCGTGAATTTTTTGAAATTGGTATTCGATGCCGTAGTGCCGTGTGTTGTCGCATGACGCCGTTGCAAAAGGCAAAAGTTGTACGTATGTTTCAAAAGAATACAAGTTCTGTTGCGTTGGCGGTTGGTGATGGTGCCAATGATGTTTCTATGATCCAGGAGAGTCACATTGGCGTTGGTATTATGGGACTTGAAGGCTCCCAAGCGGAATTGGCAAGCGATTATGCAATTCCCAAGTTTCGTTTCTTAAAACGATTGCTGGTGGTGCATGGTCGATTTGCTTTGTACCGTGACGCTCACTGTATTACATTTAGTCTTTACAAAAATGTTGTATTATGTACCGGTCTTGCAACATACGCGTTCTTCTGTGGTTTTTCTGGTATGATTTTAGTGGAATCTTGGTTGCTCGCCATGTTTAATTTGTTTTTTTGCTCCCTGCAACCTTTGGCTCTTGGTATCTTTGATAAGGACGTGGATGACGAGCTAGCCGAGTCTACCCCGTCTCTTTACCCGGCGTTGGCACGTGAACATATGTTTTTTAGTTGGAGTTACATCCTCAAATGGCTTTGCGATGGTGTATTGGATGGGCTTGCGCTGTTTTTTGTTATTTTCTACACTGTGGCAAAATGGGACGAATTATACCCGTACCGTTCAGCTTCTCTTGAAGATTATGGAACGTTATTTTTCATGATGGTATTGCTTCTATTAAACCTCCGCATTGCTGCAGTCATGACATGTTATACCGCCATTTCAGTTGCCGTCATTGCATTCGGGTTTATCGCGATTCCGACGTTGACGATGGTGTATTCCGCGTTTCCTCACATCCTTGGATCCAATTGGGGCGTAAACATTGCCATGGAACTAATGGGAACAAACAAGTTTTGGATGCTGATGTTTTTCTCCGTTGGTGTCTTTGTTGTGTACGGGATGGCAGTAAATACGTACATTGCGCTCTTCTGGCCGTGGGCAAACGGTGGGGCTGCCATGCGAGCAGCGTGGCGCTCACCGTATCGGCTGGAGTACAAGGAACGCATGAAACAACGTGGCTGAGGGGAAAAAGGACAAAAGAGAGGAGGGGGCACTACTGCTGGGAAGACGCCATGGAAGAAGGGGGATGAGTGGGAGGTGTCTGCCATCACCGGTCGTGGTGGTGAGGGAGGTACGCACATAAAACCTACCCACCCACCCAGCAGCGAAGGGAGTAAATATGGAAGAAAAGGATGCCGTCACAATTGTTTTTGTGGCGTACACGGGGGGGGGAGTGATGCTTGTATGGGGGAAAAGGGGATGAAGGAAGGAAAAGAGAGAGAGAGACAGATGGAATTGGATTCCGGGCATGAACACACACACAAGCAGACACACACACTTATATACATGTATGTGTGCGTCCATCGGCATGCTGTTTTTTTTATGTTTTTTTTTTTGTGTGTGTGTGTCTTGTTGGCAATGTTTTTTTTTTCTTTTTTTTTTTTTTTTTTTTTATTCTTCCCCCTCTCACGCATTGGTGTTTTTTAATGGTGAAGAGGGAGGGAGGGAGTGGAGTGAATGAGTGGAGAACGAGTTTTTCTTTTTCTTCTTGTGTCTGTGTCTGTCTCTCTGTGTGTGTATGCACACTGGATCCATATGCCATGCGTACATAACATGTACGGGCACATCTTTGTACGATGTATTTATTTTTCAGTGGTGAATTTATAGAAATCAAACAAAACAAAACAAATAATAATAATCGACATGAATAACAAGAAGTTTTGGTGAATCCAATGCAACCATACCCAACAACAACAACAAAAAAGAAAGAAAGAAAGAAGCATCAAATTAATAATCACACGAAAAGGAGGAGGGAGAGGAGGAGTAGGAATAGGATGAAGAAGTAAATACATAAGCCTGTATGTATGTATGTATGTATATGTGCTTGGCATGTTTTTCTATAAAATGATTGTATTACTATACATTTACCAGATATTTATACATATATATATATTTATATATATTTATATGTGGGGATGGGTGTGTTTCTGCGTAGGATTTATACATGTGTTTCTTTCTTTTTTCTTTTTCCTTTTTTCCTTTTTTGTTTGTTTATGTATGGCTGTATATGGCTGTATGGCTGTATATGGCTGTATGGCTGTATATGGCTGTATGGCTGTATATGGCTGTATGGCTGTATATGGCTGTATGGCTGCATATGGCTGTATGGCTGTATATGGCTGTATGGCTGTATATGGCTGTATGGCTGTATATGGCTGTATGGCTGTATATGGCTGTATGGCTGTATATGGCTGTATGGCTGTATATGGCTGTATGGCTGTATATGGCTGTATGGCTGTATATGGCTGTATGGCTGTATATGGCTGTATGGCTGCATATGGCTGTATGGCTGTATATGGCTGTATGGCTGTATATGGCTGTATGGCTGTATATGGCTGTATGGCTGTATATGGCTGTATGGCTGTATATGGCTGTATGGCTGTATATGGCTGTATGGCTGTATATGGCTGTATGGCTGTATATGGCTGTATGGCTGCATATGGCTGTATGGCTGCATATGGCTGTATGGCTGTATATGGCTGTATGCTTTTATTGCATATGCATGTACGTCATATGAAAAGAATATTATTAATAATACGACTACTACTAGTAAAGAATGCTGTTTCTGATATCTGTGACTTCTCCCTCTATCTCTCTCTCTCTCTCTTTCTCTTTCTTTTTTTTTTTTTTTTTTCCTTTTTTACTTTTTGAATTTCCACACAATTAGAGTGAGTGAAGAAACAAACAAGCAACCAAGCAAACAACAACAAAGAAAAGGAAAAAAAAGGAAAAAAAGGTGTTTACCAGCCCTTGTGTCTCTCACAATCCAGGAGTTTTTGAACTGTAGTTTTATTTTATTTAGTTTTTATTTTTTATTTTTTCTTTAGAGGTCTCGGCGTCTGTTTTGCTCTCATTAGCGGCGGAGTGCCATCACCGTAGAATAAACATTTATTTATTTATTTATTATTTTTATTTTTATTGTGGTGCTGCATTGAGGCGACGCAGAGGGAGAGGGTTCATTTGACTTTTGTGCGTCTGATTCGTGTGGATTTCTTAAAGAACACAACGATGCTCACTGCATTTATTCGACAGACGGCGACGCTTCGCGCTGCTTACTTGCCCCTTGCGGCAGCCTACACATCGTCATCATCATCCACATCGAACCCGTTGGCTGTGGTAGCCACTACAGGCAACGCGACTCCCATAACGGCAACGGGAATGACGAATGCAACGGAACGTGTAAGGAGCCTTCCTGGTGGCGGTGTTGGTGCTGGTAACGACACAATGCCACTAGTGGGCGATCCGCGTGTGAGCATTTGGCGGGATGAGGAGGCCTTGTTGCGAGCGTCGTTGGGGCGGCTGGAGGCAGAGCGGGAATTGGCGCGGATGCGTCGACGTTGCGAAGACGAATTGCAGTCTTTGCGGGAAGGGCTAAAAGTGCGGGAAGGACAAGTAGCACGAATTGTGCGTCGCGTCATCACGCGTACTCCCGCAAAAAGTCGACGTGGACGTCATGCACATGTCGTGGCTAATAACATCAACAGTACGCATGACACTGCCATTTCGTGTGTGGAATCGGGAGGCGAAGAAGTTGTGGCTGCCACGGATGAGTGTGAAGGGCATGGGGCGACCGTGATGACGCAAGATGAGGCACATACGGAGGAAATCTGCAGACCGGCACATCCGGGAAGAGCGAACAAGAAGGAAAAGGCCCATCGCCTCACTCTTGGAAATGCGGGAGCAATGGAGGTGGAGGTGGAGGTGGAGGAATTAGACGGGAAGGGCCGCGTGAAGGATGACAACAATGAGGTTGAGGCGGTAAATGATGCCGAACGGTCAGAAGGGTCAAACTCATTTTCCGGTGATGACGCAGCGAATAATGCGGACGGAGACGAAACCGGAACGACAGTACCATCCGGGATGGAGCTGAAAATGTCGTTGCCAGGAACACGACGTGGTGGTCTTGCGGGGGGGACGGTGCATGTCGGAAGCAACGCCACTGTAACGAGTACCGCGGGGGGAAAGCGTCAGGCCGCCACCGCCAGCAGCAACGGGGAGCTCACGAAGGACGCAGTGGGACGGCGTGGAAGGCGGCGGGCAGGAACGACGAAGAAAGGCACTGGCAGCAACAACAACAACAGCAGCAGCAGCAGCAGCACCAAGAACAAGAACAAGAAGAGGGAGACGGGACGAAGCCCGGCGAAAAATAAAAAAGCGGTTGTGAAGACTTTGACAAAGCAGCGCATCAACTCAAAGGGGCGTACCGTTTCTCACAATGCGCCTTCCAGCAAGAAGAAGGTGCAGCCTAAGCCGAGAGTGAAGACTGGCCATCCCACACCGAAAAGGAAGACTTCATCTTCAATGAGAAAGCAGCCGAAGAAGCAGGATCATAAAAATAATAAAAGCAAACAAAGCAGCCTCAACAAAAAGGGTAATGATCACACAAAGAAGGCAACCAACACAAGGCAGAGAAGGTAAAAAAAAAAATATTAATAGTAATAATAATAAACGAGCGAACAAGAGTACTTTATTTGTTGCGTGGTACTGTTAGAGCCATTTATAATTGAGTTATATATATATATATATATATATACATGTGAAGCAGTTGGTAACGTGTGTTCTTTTGTGTGTGTGTGTGTGTGCGTGCGTGCATGCAAGTACGTCGGGTTAACTGCTACAGTCTTGTGTATTTGTGTAGATATTTACAAATTGTATCATTTACTTTATGTATGTTGAGTGGATTAGACTAGATTGGCTCAAAGGGAAAAACAGAGAAAGAGAGAGGGAGAGGGAAAAAAGAGGGAGAAGGCACAAAAAAGGGGGGAAAGAGGGGATGGATTAAGGAGCCTTATTTTTTGTTTGTTTGTTTTTGTTTCGTGCGTGTGTGTATGCATGCATGCATGTATCTGTAGAATTGCGTGGTTATTGTTAGAAGAGGGTGTGTTGATGGCAACATATAAATATATATTTATTTATATATACATGTATGCATACGAAGTTTATTCCTTGTAATTATTGACGGGGGGTAACTGTAAATTATCCAAAAAAAAAAAAAAAGGCAGGGTTTAAAATAATACACGTTTGGCTCCATCTACATTTCTCCATATATATATATATATATATATATATATGTGTGTGTGTGTGTTTTCCCTCTTTTCTTCCATGCGTTTTCTGTTTTGTTTTGTTTTTTTTTTTGTTTCATGTATGACTGTAACCATCTGTATGATTCATTATTATTTATTTATTTATTTATTTATTTAATGTGCTTGACACCTCCTCACATGTTCTCTATAAGTGCATGTGCGTTTGTGTGCGCGTGTCGGCTCTTTTATATATTTCTCTTGGGAATGTTGTAATTGAGGTTGTTTTTTTTTTTCCATTCTATATATATATCTACATGCATATATATATTTATATATATTTATATATCCCTTTTTTTTTTTTTTTTGTAAGTTTCTATTGTATTTTCTGTATGTTTTGATCGTTTTGATTTTATTTTATTTAATTGTGTAATATTTTTAGAAGAATTCGGGTCCTTGCAACCCGATAGAGAGAAGGAGGGAAAGCGGGAGGTAGCGTGTGTGTGTGTGTGTGTGTGGAACGCCGGCGGTGTAATACACCAGGCACCAGGCATATCAAATACGTTGTTGTATTGATATTTGTTATATACATATATACATGAAGACGGGAAGCGAGAGGAACCCTTCGCCGCGTATCCGTGTGCACAATGCCGAGTTGTACACAGATGTCATGAATGCCTCAGACTGGAGCCGCATGATTGAGCGGGAACAGCAGCGAGAACGAATTGCGGCCCGTCGTCAACACGAGGCAGAGGAGTGGCAGCTGCAGGAGCAGATGAAGTTGGAAGAGGTTCGGTTGCAGGCAGCACGAGACACGGAGGCGGCGAAGGCACGTCAAGAGCGGCGAGCCAGAGAAGACACGCAGGAGCAGGAACTGGCGGATTTTATGCGCCGCTTTACTGCATTTGTAGAGGAACACGAGGACTTCAATGCACGCTGTGCATGCCAGACGCGCCGTGAAGAGAGGCACTTGCGGCGTGTGGTGGAGAAGCTCCATCGTGCCTGGAAGGAGGATGTGTTTCTGCCAGTGCAGGCGTTTATTGACGCCCAGCTGCAGGATGTAGAGGGGGAGGAGCACCGGACGTTACTACGACACAACATGTTGACCGCATTCCTTAAAGAGTGTAACCGCACCGATCGTTTCGGCGGCCGCCACGCCGTTTACCGTGACATTATTGACGAGGTGCGGTACGACCCCCTGGGGCAGCTTCAGACCTGCACCATTCGTTACCCTGCACCCCCTCGACGCGAGACGGCTGTGGATGCGCAGCGGCGGGCGGCGGAGGAGGTTCAGCGGAAGTATGCTCAGCTGGCGATTGACTTTCACGGACTGGAGCGGGAGTCCACAACAGGCGTGCTGACGGATCCACCCTTGAATGACACTTCACAGATCCCAGCGACGAATCTGCCCATAACGGGAGTTGTTTCCACAGGAAAAGAATTTCACTTTGCGTCACGGACGTGGTCGAGTGACCCAAGGGAGGTGGCGACAACTGCAACGGGCATAGGGAGCAACGCGACGTTGTCCACGACGGGATGGACGGCAAAACATTGTACCAGCACAGCGGGACGGACGACAAGACGGACGGTGCTTCCCCCGTTGCAGCATCCACCGCCCCCAAAAGATTTTCGTCACCTCAGCTACGGTATTAATGTAAATGCTGTCGATTCACTTGCAAAATGGACGAAGGAACGACGTATGCCGAGGCCACGTGAGGCCGATCTCCCCGTTACCATGTGGGGCCGATTCCCTGAAACAATACACGGCTGGATGGCTACCGCCGACGGTGACGTCAAGCCGAGTAGCAGGCGCCGGGTTGACGCCGCACGGAAGGCGCAACATTCGGATGTCATGTTTGATCACTACAACTTTCCACGGGGGTTAGATGGCCCACTGCACACGGGCAAACGTGTTTTGTGAAGTCTCCCTATTTCCCCCTCTCTCTTTTTTTTTACCTTTGCATGTGCCCTGCGCTGTGTTTTGTTTCAGTGTATTTGACCCGTACGCTTTTTCCCCTTTTTTTTTACCATCCATTTGGCGGAGCACGCGCAGCAAAGAAAAGCAAATACATAAAACATGTACAGAAATCAATTGCTATATATATATATATATATATGGCAGTGAACGGAGAATTCTGCTAAATGAGTTGCCCCTGTATGTTGTGTGTGGATGTCCGTCTTTTTTGTTGTTGTTTTTGCCACCGACACATCCTGCCAGGCGATGTGTTGGAAATAACAATCCAATGCATGCGTTGAGATGAGTTGCTTTTTTTTTTTTTGCTGAGTTTTCTGTTGTTAATGGAAGGCGTGCGGTACGGGTGAAGGGGGAAAAAGAAGAAAAAAAAGAAAAGGGCATCATCAACAAGTAGAACGACATGAATTCTTATGCGCGTTTCTTCTGTGGAGACCAATCAGGCCTGTCGTGGATTGGATGGAATCGTCTCCGCGATAAGCAGTTGTTTTTCGGTAGCCTCTTTTTCGCCACCTCCATTTACGCTGCGGTGCACTATTCGGAAGAAAAGGAACGGCGGCGGCGGCACGTGTCCATTGAGAATGACATTGAGCGTGAGCGGTGGCGGGCGAAGGAATTAGGTCTTGAAGAGCCTCGTGATGACGGCTTTGCGGACGCATACATGAAAAAGTTGCGTGGCAGGCAATGAACGCTTAATGAAACCCCCTGATGTGGATTGTGGGTGTGAGAGAGACCGGGGGTGAGGGATACAATGCAATGCCTGCACCCGAGCCTGAGGCTTTTGGTAGGCTTCAGAAAATTTATGGAATGTTGAAAGAAGAATTGGGAAAGAAGCCGCGGAAATGGAGATGGGCGGTGAGCAGTGTGTCTGTCTGCATGTGTTACGGGTGGTTGCTTGGGTGAGTAAGGGTCGGGTAAGGAAGATGGACACATTTGGTTTGTTTGTTTGTTTTCTGCCGCTGCTACTGCCTTCGTTGCCATCTGTGTGTCCCTCACTTTTAAGGTAGGCTGAGCAGGGACGGAGAGGTGGCCACACGTTTACCATCACACACACACACGTCCAAGTAGAAAAGATGAGTGCGAAGACCAATATTTCTTTTTCCGCCTCTTCCTCCAGTCTTATAAAAGGCACAGAGCCGCGCATTAAAATCATCTCTATTGGCTCCTCCGGTGTTGGGAAGAGTTGTGTTATCAAGCGATACTGTGAGGGGCGCTTTGTGTCAAAGTACATTCCCACCATTGGCATAGACTACGGTGTGAAGCGCGTGAGTTTACGTGCGCCGGCACATATGTCGCCTGCGCCGCCCAATTTTTTTGTTCGGGTGAATTTCTGGGACATGGCTGGCCGTGACGAGTTTCTTGAGATCCGAAACGAGTTTTATTACGCTGTGGAAGGTGTTTTGCTTTTTTACGACGTCACCGATGCCTCAAGTTTTGCCGCTTTGGACGAGTGGTTAAAGGAGATGCAAACATACGTGAATGCGCCTCGAAACACTGGCGGGGAGACGCTGGGCGTGAACCCTGTGAAGAAACCAGCGATTGTTGTGGTGTGTGCCAACAAAGTGGACAATGAAGTTGATGGCGGTAAGAAGCGCGTTGTTAGCGAAGCGGATGGGCGGCGTTGGGCGGAAGCGCACGGATACAAGTACTTCGAGACGAGTGCGTGCACCGGCCTGCACGTCACGGAAATGCTTGAGACGCTTTTTAACGATGTGGTGGCAGCATTCATGTAACTCTATTGAAAATGAAAATGAACAAAAGACCATCACATACAGAGAGAGAGAGAGGGAGAGGGGGAGAGAGAGGGAGAGGGAGGGATGCGCCGAGCATTGTGGACGGGCGGAGATTTTTTGAGATTCCACCTGTTCCTACGTGTGTGGAGGAGAGTCATACACATGCATATACATTTATATATTTATTTATTTATGAGAGAGAAGGCAGCAAAGAAAGGAAGAGAGACAGCTGTGAAATCGTCTTCTTGTATGCTCTTTGCAATTTTTGTTGTTGTTGTTTTTCTTTTTTTTTTTTTACTTTTACCCCCTCGTACCACCTATCCTTGAATACGTTAAATAGTTACATAGAAAACGCAGCAACAATATATTTATATATAATTTAAGTACCGGCTTTTGCATTTACACACAGGGACATATGCCTCGACGGTTTGTTGCCGAGTATGTGACGAAACATCTCTGTGGTGTCCGGGTGTTGGAGTCATTTGCGGAAACCAGCACCGCTACGGGTGTCATTGGGACGCATAACGGCTCCTTTCACTGTGATGAAGCCATGGCATGTGGATTGCTGCGCTGTAGTCAAAATTTTGGTCAATCGAATATTCTTCGCTCACGTGACCCGAATGCGTTGGAGCGGTGCAATATCGTTGTGGATGTTGGCAGCGTCTATGATGAGGCGACACTGCGGTTTGATCACCATCAGCCGTCTTTTCATGACACCATGAAAACGCCAAAGGCGGTCTATCAAACCCGGTTGTCCTCTGCAGGCCTTGTGTATAAGCACTTTGGCCGTGAGATTATCCAGGGTTATGTGGAATCTGCATTGGCATCCCCGTATCGCGTAAAACTGCTGGACGCCACGAAATGGGGAACAGATAAGAAGAAACTATCGGAGCAGGAACTGGATACTTTGTTTGATATTGTTTATAAGAATTTTGTGGAACACATTGATGGCATCGACAACGGCGTTAATGCCTACGGACCTGCAGAGACGGAGGGCGAGGAGGGCGCCGTCCCGGTCTCATCGTCTTCACCATCATGTGTGAGGAAGTACAATGTTTCTACGACGCTTTCAGCTCGCATAGGAAATCTTATGCCATGGTGGAATGAAGAAGGGAACGGTAAAGTGGAAAACGAAAATGCCGCCTTTCTGCAGGCAATGGAGTTGGCAACATCTGAATTTTTTGACTCCGTTCATTATCATGTCTTCGCGTGGATGCCAGCGCGTGGGATTGTCCGGGCGGCATTTCTTGAAGCAATGAATGTGCATCCTAGTGGCCGCATTGTCGTCTTCAAGGATTGCTTCTGCCCATGGAAGGAACACTTGCTGGAGTTGGAGGGGGAACATGGCAAAGTGGGCCACGTCCTGTATGTACTCTTTGCGGACAAGAAGGGCTGGCGCGTGCAGGCGGTGCCCAAGGAGGCATCAGGATTTGAGAACCGCAAGTCGTTACCATGGCGAGGTTTACGAGATGAGGAATTGAGTCAAGCAAGTGGCATTGAAGGCGGCATATTTGTGCATGTCTCTGGATTTATTGGTGGAAACAAAACGTACGAGGGTGCATTGCAGATGGCAGTGAAGGCGTTGACCGTCGTAAATTGAAACCCATCCACGTTTACAGGAATGAATCATCTCTGCCCGCAGGACGCATGATGAGCCACAGACGTGTATATATGTAGTTTTTTTGTTCCTCTTTTCTTTTTTAAAGGTTTTTTTTTTTTTTCTATGCACATGTAATGTATTAACTCTTTCGAGGTGAGGTTGGGGAGAGAGGCGTTAATCACATACTTTTTTTTTCTTTTTCTAAAATGCGAAAAAGGAAGAAAACAGGAAAAGAAACCCAAACAAATAAAATTGGCAACGCAGGTGTTGGGGTAAATGATACGATGGGGTTAAATCTTAATGAGACGAGCCACCGTTGGATGATGAGGAAGAGGAGTAAAAGAAACAGAAGGAAAAATTAATACTTATATAGGGGTGGAGGAGTGTTGTGTTGCCGCAGCGAAGGAGAGATGCCGTTTTTTTTTTTTTTGTTTTGTTTTTTTTTTTGGGAATTTGTGTCTGTTTTGGTCTTCTAATGTTCTCTCTTTTATATATATACATTTTTTTCTCTCTAACCTCCTATAAATACACACACACACACACACAAACTAATGCCCTGTTCACACGGCCGGAAGGAGGGGAGGAGAGTTAACTGCACGTGTAACATTACAGGGGACGGTGCCGCAGCGAGGTTTGTGTTAAATATATATATATATATATATATATTATTATTATTATTATTATTATTATTATTATTATTATTATTATTATTATTATCCGTATTCCCAGCTACGATGGCGCTGTGGCCTTCCGTGGGAGTATTGTCTGCGGGGATGCGGTGCACTGTTGCCTCGGGCTGCCGCTCCTTTGGTGGAGTCGTCAGCAATAGGAACAGGACTGCCCTCCTCACCCCCGCACGTGGCATTATTGTGCCCCAGCAGCTCAAGGCGTATGGTGGCACATTTAGTCGCTCAATTGGGGAGCGCTCCGACCACCTTGTCGGGAACTTTGTGCTGCAGAGTCTTTCCCCTTCCCGCACAGCCCACTCCCCGCTGCTCGCGAAAAATGTGAAGACAAAGACAGTGACAAGCTTCGAGGACATGCTTCTCGCACCGGAGTTGCGCAAAGCGCTGATGCAGAGTCTACATGTCGACACACCGTCTCCCATTCAACAAACGGCCATTGAGGTGATTTTACAAGGCAAAGACACCGTTGTGGCGGCCCCACATGGCGAGGGCAAAACACTTGCCTATCTCCTTCCCTTGTATCAGAACATGATGAAGGATCGGGATGTGTACAAGATCCCACTGCGCGAGCGCCGTCCACGCATGATACTCCTGGCGCCAACGAAGGAACTTATTGCACAGTTGCAGCACATTTGTGCCGCTTTAGACGCGGCTACTGGTTTGCGCTCCATTTCATTCACGTCCCGGAAAAGGGCCAAATACCATCTGAGCCGATTGCTGAAGAACACACTTGCCGATGTTGTCATCATGGATCCCAAGGTGGTTCTGCGTCTTATTCGATCACGTCGACTTTTCCTTGATGACATCCGCTACGTTGCTGTGGATGAAGCAGATGTGATGCTTTCATCGCAGCACGACCACGATGCAGTTCATCTTCTTATGAAGGTGCAAAAGCGGGTGATGTTTAAATATTTATGGCCGGTGCAGACCCAAACTGTATTTGCAACCGCCTACATTACACGAAAGTTGGAATTTGTTATTGGTAAGAAGTTTCCAAATGCCGTAACATGTCTGCAGCGGCAACGTATGCATCGCCCGCCGGACACCCTTTCACACCGCTTTTTTGCGATTCAGCGGGAGCAGGAGAAGATGGATGTGCTGCAGCACTTGCTTAAGAAGCACGGCAACCATCCACGTGTTATCGCCACCGACGTAGATGAGGTGCAGGCACACACGCAAACGCACTACTTGTCGGGGACACTCGAGGAGTTCATGGAGCGTCGAAGAAACACGGCACCACCATCACCGCAACCGAATTACCAGCAGCGACAGCAGCAGCAGTCTGATGAATTGCCAGAGTTTGAAGAGGAAGTTGTGCAGGAACAGGAGGAATCCCATCATTATGAGTGTGAGAGCAATGGCAGCGTGAATTCTCTTGATTGTTCCTCTTCCCCTTCTTATTCCTTGTCGCTGGACGTGGAACGGGATGTAAATGAAGAAGCGCGTCGTATCTTGGAGCAGGTGCGTCCTTTGCGCTGGGAGCATCTCACAACAGTCGCGGCTCCTTTTACGTGTCATATTCCCCGCACGGTATTTGGCGAAGGTCAGCGTATTATTGTCTTCACACGTGGTATTGATTCCGCCACTGCGGTGTATCATCACCTGCGTGGGCGAGGCTTCACTTGTTCCCTTCTGCACGCGGCGTTGCCATGGGATGTTCGTCGGCGCATGTTTGCCGATTTTGCGTCCGGTCGCACTAATATTCTTTGTGCCACAGATCTCGCTGCACGTGGACTGGACGTGCATGTAGACGTTGTGGTGAATTTTCACATGCCTACAAATGCGTTGGTGTATCTCTCGCGCGCAGGACGGACGGCACGGCAGGGGCGTCTTGGCCGTGTGTACAGTCTTTATACAAAACATCAGGGCGTGATTGTCTCTGCGGTGCGGGCCTTTTTAAAGAAAAACATTCCGTTGGAGGGGGTGAGCAACTCAAAGTCGCACATGATGAACCCGCGCTACGCGGAGTGGCGCACCCACAAGATGAACGCCATTGCCCGCTCGTACGTCTCGCTCATTACACAAAAAACAATTCCCGCCCACTTGGAGCGGACGTACCTGCACCACAATGCCACCTGGCGCCCGTTGTTTCACCCCCAGACAACAGGCATTCACGCAGGTGTGCCGCCGCGTCAGCAGCAACGTGTCATGGACGCTGTAACGGAGCAGGCGGTGTGGTTCCGCCGTGGGCAACTTGCAAGACGAAAGGGTGGTCGTGCAAAATTTGGTGGACGCGACGCGGAGCGCGGTGTATGGAACAGCATTGGCGGCATTGCAACCAGTTGGGTGGCGAATGCGGCGCAGAGCGCAAATCCTGGCGGCCCTGACTTTGGCCCCCCGCAGGGGCCACCCAAATAAAAGAGCGGCACACCCATATAATATATATCTTTATATTTAGATAAACCCCAAAGTGACAGGTTTTTCCCTATTTTTTTTTTTTTGTGTGTGTGTGTCCGGCCTGTTTGTCGCATTATTATTACTATTTTACATGTGATCTGTTGGCTGGCTGGATTTATTGCTTTATTTCCGTTGCTTTCCCTTCCATGGCTGGTGAAATGACACACAAAAAAAATATATATACACATAATTGTGGGGCTCAGGCAAATATCGTAGCATCATCACCTCACACAGCGCAAGGAAGGAGACATTACTAGTTGAGCGCTGCTGTGGAGCGAGGGGGAGGGGGGGCGAGGAAGAGAACAGTGAGCCTCTGCTCCTGCTTGCAGTAATGTCCGCGCGGCGTCTTTTTACACGAGGTATTCCGGTTGCGACAATGGCTATTGCCGTATGTATTGTAATTTTTTTGATATTTCCCGCGTCCTCGTTGCGACCGCTTCCTGTCGCGGCGGAGGGAGAGGAGGTGGAGCGGCACTGCCCCCGTTGCCCTATCTGCTCCGCCCGTGGCACACCGTTTTTCTTAAGGCTGCGTTATTGCGTCTTGACTTCGCTTCCTGCGGTCTTGGTGAAGCGGGAGTTCTCCGTTGAAAAGGATGAGAAATTGCGTCATCGCGTCATGGAGGATGTGAAGGAACTTCTTCTTACACGACTTGTGGGACAAGAACATTTGAAGGGTGTCATTCTAGAGGCGGTAAGGCGCAAGTTGATTTACCCGCGGGATCCACTTGTATTACACTTTGCAGGGGACAATGGGGTTGGCAAGACGCATACTGCACGTCTTTTGTCTCTAGCCACATCACCGCATTGTGCCCCATCCCGCCCAGCGTGCGACATGGGTGAAAACATGCTTGTCATCTCCGGTACAGGTTTTGATGGGATGCCGATAGAGGACGCACGGACTCGTATCATACAACGTGTGACAGCTCACCAGAAGGTGTATCCGCACGGTATTGTGTTACTTGATGATCTAGCGGCAATGCACCCGAAACTTGTGGCTGCACTTGCGCCACTCCTTGGACGAGCAGAACGTTTTGAGGAACAACCAGAGGGTACGCCATCCCTTGCGCAGTTAATTGTTATTGTGACCACTGACTTTGGGAAGCAGGGACGCACGTGGGGGAAAAGCATGGCGGAAATTGAGCAACTGGTTCGTGATGAGTTTGCTGGTCTTTATGGGACACTCCTCTCTGCCTTTACACGTACGATGCTTTTTCTTCCCTTCTCTAGGCACGATGCGGAGGAAATGATTAGAATTGCCGTGGCCGCCCTGCCATGTGGAACGTACTGGAACAAGGGGGCGGTTGTAACGAGCAGCATTGAGGATTTGGCGGTCACCTTCCTTGTGGAGCGTCACCGTGAAACATGGGAGGGAAGAGAGAATGGTCATTCTTTACGACGCGCCGTGGAGGACAGTTTAGTCTCGCTGTTGTTACAGTACTTTGACCAGCATGGGCACGACAAATTCGTTTGGGCTCATTTTCGCCTTGATGAGCGGGCGGCGAAAATTGTTCTAAGCACCGGTTGGAACTACGACCACATGGAGACGAGTAGTGAAGAGTTTTTTGGCGTTGCTATAGAGGCTGAAGGGACGGTTCTCTCTGGGGAAGATAAAGAAGGAGGGGGAGAAGATGTTGCCGAGAAGGGAAAACATGCATCCACATTTAACGGGGATTTGTGAAAGGGATGGGTGGAATGTGTGGCCACCTTTGCTATTTTCCTTCCGTCTTAAAAGCAAAAGAAGAAGGGAAAAAAGGTAAAAAGAGAAAAATAATGGCCGAGGAGGGTGAAGATGACCCATAAGTCATATATATATATATATATACATATACATGCACACAGAGAGATGGGGAGAGAGACGTGTTCTGTTGGACTGCTTGGCTTTTTCATGGTGATTCTTAGTCTCAGTTCATCTTTTAAGCGTTTTTCTTTTTTTATTGTCGACAGCGGTGGAAAATTTTTTTTATCCTTTCTGTGTGTGTGTGTGTGTGCGTGATTGTCTTTTAGGCGGATGTTTTTGCGCCTGGCGACGGTTGGGGCATTTGTGACCGTACTCGTTGCCTTCACGCTGCTTCACGGTGATGAACTTTGGGGATTTGGCCCGCAGCGTCGCAGGGGCAATTCGCCATGCGAGTGCTTGACTGGCGTAATTGGAGACAGTGCCCTTCTTGGGGCTCTCCACCGCAAGAGTCTCTTTCTTGGTCTCCATTGGCGCGCTACCCCCGCCCATGTCATGGCCTATCTTGACCCATGGCAATTAAAGTACGCCAACTGCATTTCATTCCATAGACTGGAGCTCTCAGGAATTAAAAATGACACTTCTGCAGTGGATGTGCTACGAGAGCGTCTTGAAGAAGATGCGGCGAATGATACTTCTGGGAGTTGGATGATACGGGATAGGGGCCTGATGGCGTCAAGGCAGCGGCATCGTCAGCATGGACGTCTCAAAACGTCTGCTGCAGAACCGACGTGTCACGTGTGGATTTTGCCAGAAACAGCGAGAATACCGTTGACGGTGTGGGTTGCACTGAAAGGGCTCCTACAGGAAGGCACAATTGCTGATGTGCCTGTCCGTCTCTCCGCTAGAGAAACAAAATGGAGCATGTATCAACCTCTCGGTGTGTTGTTGTGGGCTGATCCTGCCGATCGTGAGACACTCAAGCATGTGGTGCCACCACGCACAGTCATGATGTTCACGACAATCAGTCGTTAACAATGCCACATTTGACATGTACTGGCAGAGAGGCAGAGAGAGAAAGACACGCACGAATATGTTGGTGGAAGAAAAGGGGTCTTTTAAATTGAACTTTGGGTGCGGGTCAGGGCATCAGGCTGGGTACGGAAGCGTGACGAAAAAAAAAAACGGCAATGATGAATCATTGGAAGAAAATGTGCCACGGTGTCCTTTTTTTATTTATTGTGTCTTTTACTATGTGAGCTTGTTTGTTTATTTCACTGTGGTGTTGTTTGTGTTCTCTTCTTTTTCTTTTTTTTAAATCTATCTGTTTTTGAAGGGGGATTGGCGTCATTTTGCGGTGAGCAAACGTCATTGTTGCCTTCCCTCCTTGTTTGATAACAACACTTGCTGCGGCTTGAAGATGTCCACGGAAGACGGCATTTATGGGCCACCCTCGTCGTTTGACGCGGAGACTGGCAGAATGGCACGTCTCGAGCACTTCCTGGACGCCGTCCTCCGCCAGTCCCTCGAGAAGGTACTGCGGGAGCGGGACACGGTGTACACAATGGCCTCGGAGTGCTGCCAGCTGCGGGAACTCTTTCAGGAGATGCGGGCACTTTCCTCAACACACTCATTCATCACAGACGGCGACGCGCCTTCTTTACCCGCCACAATGGCAGCGGGAGAGGGAGAAAAAGAAGATGAAGAAAAGAGGCCACAGCGCAATCAAATTATGGTTGATATTGGCAATTATTTCTTTGTGCAGTGTTCCGTCAAGGATGGGTCGCAGGTGTGGGTGAATCTTGGCTGTGGTGTGGTTCTTCCAATGTCAACAGCGGAGGCGGATGTGTTTCTTCAGAAAAAGGAAAAACTTCTGCGTGAGCGGGCGGCACGACTGAGTAAAGAAGCACTACGTATCAAATATCGCATCCGTCTTGTGATGGAGGCCATCAGTCAACTTTACGATCGAGCGACGGGGCAGCGGAAGTGAGACCCACGACGCTCCTTTGGTCTTACTCTTGGACGTGTTTGCTGCAAGTGCTGGCGAATTTCTTTGTTGTTGTTGTTGTTCTCTCTCTGTGTGTGTGTCTGTGTGTGTATGTGGAAGGAAAAGAGAAAAACTGTTGCAATTCAGGACGATAAAGAGTGTGGTTGACGTGAGGTTGAGGCGTGGAGCCTTGGCACTTTTTCACATCACAACATTGCCATAAAAGGGGGAACACGGAAGCGAAAATGGAATGGCAGGCACACATTCACTATTTCTGTATGGCGTGTGCGGCTTTTCACTTTCAATTTTGTCGTTTTTTTTTTTCTCTCTCTCTCTCTCTGTGTGTGTGTGTGTGTTTCTATTTTGGCTATTGCACATGCATATAGGTTTACAAGGGAAGTCTGCAACACAATACAGGTGTTTATTATTATTATTATTATTATTATTAGTTGTATAGAGTCAAATACAAACCTTATTTCGGCAGTATATTATCGACCCTTTACTTGAGTGGGAGCAGTACAATATATCAACACTGGTTGATTCAGTCTAATTTCCCTATAAGTGAATCTTTGGTCTGTGGCTGTCTGTGTTTGTGTTTGTGCTTGTATAGTTGAGTGAATTTACATCTCAACACTTTATCATTTCGGGACATGGACGGGCAGGAATTGACAACAGAAACCGTAACACCCGCAAATGTGTCTTCTTCACCGTCGCCTATGGATGCCCGGACGATGCATCTCCAATTACAATCGCCAAATGCCCAAGTAATTTCTCCGTCTTTTGACGTTGGTGATCTCATCTCATACGAGTACTTTGACACAGCCTCAGGAAAGTTGCAATGCGGGTTGGCGACGGTGTTGGAAAGGCTTGAAGAAAACAAAATTTTGGTTGAGCCACTGATGCACGAGGCCCGGAGAAGTCTCTGCGGCGTGGTGGCCACAACGGAAGAGGGCAAATCCATACTTGAGGAACTGCGGAATCTAGAAAAGGAGTTTGTGCGGTGCATCAAGGACGCCAAACAATCCTCGCAAGAGATTTGGGAGAGACGCTATGCCGTCCAGAAGGAGAAGCAGGAGGTTGAAGAGGCGGTGATAATTGCCCAGGAAGAACTCGGGGACGTCCGTACGGCTGTAAAGAAGATTGACATTCATCACTGGCACGAGTTGGTGTCATATCGAACACCACCGGAAATCGTGGTACGGGTGATGGCCGCAGTGGTGCTTGTGTTAGGCGAGCGGCGACGTACGTGGGCTGAAATTATGCCCATCTTACATCGTCCGGGAATGACGGAGCTTTTGGCGACCTTTGACTCCAGTGATTTGACACAAGCGCAGCGTGAGGAAGTGTTGCAGCGGTACATCAATACACCAAAGTTTACATATGAGGGGGTGATGAAAGGCAGCATTGCTCTTACGGAGTTGTACAGATGGGTTGTGGCACACGTGCTCATGATTAATGTAAGTGAACATCGCAATCAGATGTTTAGAATAAATGAACGCCGCAGCTCTGATCTTGAAGAGTTGGAGCAAAAGTTGCAGGAAGACTTTAAGAAGATTGCGAGGTTAAATATTGAAATGAATGCGTTATGGAACCGTCTTTATGAGGTGGAGTCGAAAACCGCCTCTAACTTTTGTGCTTCCAACAACACCACTCCCAGAGAGAACCAGAGCGCTAGACAACGTTGTTCACATATGGGCCTTTTTGAAAGACCACGTTTTGCAGAACTTATCAAGATGATTAGTGGATCATGGCATTACAAAATGAAGCCAGAACGCCGTGGCATTTCCATCTACAGTGTCCTATGTAACTTGGGGGCAGCACCAGACAGAAATGAGACGATCATACTTCAGGAACAAAATTCTCTGCATCTTTTGGCCGCCATGCAGGCAAAAAATCGTCAGTACCCTCCCATTATTCAATCGGAAACTGAAGCATATGTTGAAGAGGCAGCAAATACACACGGGATTCAGCAAAAACGGAAACCGCAAAGAAAAACAATCACACAAATTCAATGTGCGCAGAACATCAAAGCACTGGTGCAACAGATTCGAAAAAATGCGGAAGAGAAGCTCCAACTTCAACAAAGAATTTTAATCAACACCAGAAGTAAAAATACTGGTGAAAGTCAGTTGGGACAAAAGCTATCACAAGAAAACTATACAAAAGAAAGAGAAGAAAATAACACGAATACTAAAACATTCACCCACATCAAACATTTTTACACGCAAGACAGCCCACGAACACCACCTGTGCAAAGAAGGCTGGATTTGTCCGGAAACAAAAAGAATTCACTAAAAGATTACAAAATAAAGGGTTTTGACGTTCTGGCTACGCTGGAGCGCCAGCTACAGGAGCGTGATGATGCCCTGGCTGCGCTGAGGGACAGACTGGAGGAGTACGGCAGAGAAAAGTCTGCGCTGGAGAGCCGCTCCAGTGAGAGTGTTGATGTCGTCGTTACACTCGAGCGCCAGCTACAGGAGCGTGATGATGCCCTGGCTGCGCTGAGGGACAGGCTGGAGGAGTACGGCAGAGAAAAGTCTGCGCTGGAGAGCCGCTCCAGTGAGAGTGTTGATGTCGTCGTTACACTCGAGCGCCAGCTACAGGAGCGTGATGATGCCCTGGCTGCGCTGAGGGACAGGCTGGAGGAGTACAGCAGAGAAAAGTCTGCGCTGGAGAGCCGCTCCAGTGAGAGTGTTGACGCCTTGGCTGCCATGGAGCGCCAGCTAAAGGAGCGTGATGATGCCCTGGCTGCGCTGAGGGACAGGCTGGAGGAGTACGGCAGAGAAAAGTCTGCGCTGGAGAGCCGCTCCAGTGAGAGTGTTGACGCCTTGGCTGCCATGGAGCGCCAGCTACAGGAGCGTGATGATGCCCTGGCTGCGCTGAGGGACAGGCTGGAGGAGCACGGCAGAGAAAAGTCTGCGCTGGAGAGCCGCTCCAGTGAGAGTGTTGACGCCTTGGCTGCCATGGAGCGCCAGCTACAGGAGCGTGATGATGCCCTGGCTGCGCTGAGGGACAGACTGGAGGAGTACGGCAGAGAAAAGTCTGCGCTGGAGAGCCGCTCCAGTGAGAGTGTTGACGCCTTGGCTGCCATGGAGCGCCAGCTACAGGAGCGTGATGATGCCCTGGCTGCGCTGAGGGACAGACTGGAGGAGTACGGCAGAGAAAAGTCTGCGCTGGAGAGCCGCTCCAGTGAGAGTGTTGACGCCTTGGCTGCCATGGAGCGCCAGCTACAGGAGCGTGATGATGCCCTGGCTGCGCTGAGGGACAGGCTGGAGGAGCACGGCAGAGAAAAGTCTGCGCTGGAGAGCCGCTCCAGTGAGAGTGTTGACGCCTTGGCTGCCATGGAGCGCCAGCTACAGGAGCGTGATGATGCCCTGGCTGCGC